GACGCTGCCACCGCCCCTCCCACACTAGATGGAGCTCTCCACATGTGCAACGAATTGTGGACGACGCTGCAGTCCCGTACCATCCTCTTTAGTCACCTCAAAACTCACTAACCTAGGTGACATCCCTAATAACTCAGATCATTGTATTATAGCTGGATGATCGTCATACTCGATTCCGAGTGACAGCAAAGTAATAGTAGTGTGTGTGTGTGTGTGTGTAAAAGCAATACAAGTATTCAGTTTAGAAAGTATATCGGCAACGCATATATATAATTAGCCAAAGCAAATGTAGACTTGCTTGACCATTTCACAGAATAAATATTATTATTACTATTAATGTTATTTTTTGCCAATTAGTGGCTTATCTGTTGCTCTTTCCTTTAACCAATGTGAACAACATGATCGCCCGCCATTTGCAAGTCCTTGTAGACTACTCTGCCTCCACAATAGCTTTGTGAAAAGTGTTGTGTTTCCTTAAAAATTGGAGGATACCAGTGACATTTAAGGAATAATGAATGGTTCAGTAAAATGTAAGAATACTTTAATATGTGTTATAAGACTGTTTATTAAATTAGAATGCGATTTTTAAGATGTCTATCATTGCCGTCTTCAAAAAGCTGGAGATGTCTACAACACATTTCTTCAGCTGTAGAAACATGAATGAACCTCAGTAGCTCTGGTATACCAAGAGTATTTTAGTGCTTTAATAGGGTTTAAAGGGAAACCCGAAACAAACGTGGACACAGTTTATAGAAGAAAGAAGCAGTATTGTGGAGTAATGTGAAAAAGGGAGGATATCTCTGAATATCGACATGAATTTACACCAGGTTGTTGATATCAGTGTTGTTACTAATGGTCAGGTGGCAGGCACATGATATCCTGTATTTTAACTTAAATGTTACCTAATTCTATGCTACTCCATGCTAAATGTGCATGTGGATAGGAATGTGTTTTTATTTTAGTGGTATTATTTTAGTTTTGGTCTTCCTGGGAATCTAAGGTTAGGTTAGGTTACATTAGTTTGGATATCTAAATACAGGGATGGTCGAAACTATAATTTTACCACTCACATTAACCTGACTAAAAGAAGATAAGGTATTATTGTATTAGTGGGGCCAAATCAATTTCTTAATTAAAAATAAATTTTTTGCATAGTTCAGACTATTCTAAGACACTTTTCTTGTATGGCATTTCGGTCGGAAACGAATGGTTACTGAAATATTGCTTGCTTTAAGTTGGAATGTCGCCCACTTACGCAAATTTACCAAAGATTATTAGCATAGATTAGCATGGTTGGCGTAGCACACCTGCAGGTACAGTCCTCTTCACTAGTGCATTTACAGTGACAGGGGACTGTGCCTTTATGGTCTTTAAAAAGCTGATGTATGTAACATGTAAACTGCTTCATACTTTCTAAGTTATCTATATTATCTTGAATATCTTTTTTTGAATTAAAAGCACTTTATGTGGATGATTTAAAATATGCTTGTAATTCTAGGGTCGGATGAGTCTACCCGGGAGTTTATTCAACTACGGTACAAGCTTCGTCATCTTTTCAATGGACGTAAGCATCAGTGCGAGAAGGCTTACAGGTAAAAAGTTCCTAATATAGCTACAGTGTTATTTGAGTTTAATGTCTGAATGTCATGATCATAAGACTGAGTTTTCTTTTAATTAGCTTTTTTTGATATTACAGAATCTTGTAGAAAATTAAAATTTTAGATCACAGTATAAAATTGTGACCAAGTCCCAGGTTGCTGATCTGTCTTTCTGTCTGCCTTATTTACACACAATTGCAGGGTCTCAATTGCCTCTCTTACTATTGACAACATATACTGTATAACTTTTCTCACTCTTGATATGTTTTATTATTCCTATTCTTTTATTTTCCAATGAAATCAGCTAACAATAATATTGACTTGGTTAGAGTCAATAGTTATAAAACACAGTATTTACCAATTACACTTTCCAAAATAGAAGATCCACCAATCACATTTCAGGATGCAATCATTCTGTCAAATTCTAAAATAGATATTTTAGGCCTCACCATTTCCTCTAATATGTCATGGAAACCACACATCCACAACATTGCTAAAACTGCCTCCCAAAAGCTGGGAATGCTGTACAGATGCCATAGTTACTTCACCCCTGAACAGTTGCTTCAAGATTATAAGGGATTCATATATCCTAACTTGGAGTACTGCTCTCATATCTGGGGTGGCTCTTCTTCTGTCCAACTGTTAGATAAGGTGGAATCAAAGGAATTTCGTCTTGTTAACTCTCCTTTAGTTTAAAATCTCTCTTCCCTTTTTCTTCTCCACAATGTTGCTTCACTCTCTCTCTTTTGCAGGCACTTTAACGGGCAACGTTCGGTGGATTTGGCATCCAGTGTACAGGCGGCAAGGCCGTGAGCTCGTAACACACTTCTTGCCCACGGTGCCCACTGTTTCTCTGTGGATGTCGGTCACACTAGAATAACCCGTTATAGTACATCCTTCTTTCCTCACACAGTCAAACTGTGGAATGCTCTGCCTTCTTCTGTGTTTCCATACTTGTACAATCTGCCTCACTTCAAAAAGCTGGTTTTCTGGCATCTTAGTGGTGTAGATTAATATACTGTAGTCTTTTTCTCTTCTATTTGCTTTCTTTTTACTCTTATTTTTGCCCCCAGGCCCTGTTGTGGGTCTATGACCTGTACCCGGGTGGGCTGTTCCCCATAAAAAACTACAGTACGTATATATTAATATATTTTGAGAAAGAGAAGTGATTCCTGGTGAAAGTAAAGTTTAAATAATATTGCTAATTTTTTTTTTTATTATTTTCATGGATGGGATACTGAGAAAGGTGAAGGGGGATGGATAAAACCTTTTTCAGTTGGGATAAAAAATTTATTGTATAAAAATTGATGGTATGATGGCTCCTGTTTGCAGATGACACTTACTCTGGTTTGTGGTTACATGAAAAGTTGCAAATGATAGGGAAATGATAGGTTAGGAAGGACGTGTAATGTATGAGAAAGTTAATACAGTACTATAGTCATTGTCAACAAAAGTAAGGTGTTTCAACAAAATACAAAAAGAAAGAAGATAGTTTGTATGGAGACAGAATGTACAAAGAGAGGTGTTTTAGTCACTTGAGTGGATGTTTTAGCAGATAACATTTGAGTTGGGTAAAGAGAGAGAGCCTACAGTGTAGGAGGGAAAGTTAGAGCAGGTCAGAACCAAAGATCGACAAATTGGCTTGTACGCAGGGACAGTTATGTACCACAAGTGGGACACACAACCACCTCACCTAACACAGGGAAGTGTAAGAATGAGCAGTGGTACTGGTGTTTCCCAAGGGACTTGCCCACTCCACATCTCAGTGTGGCAAGAACACTTAAACACATGGCTGCTATCAATACTTTGACTTGTTTTGCTTACTGGAGGTATCACAGTTATATATACTGTACTATAGGGTGCATATAGAGTACGAGTAATTAGATATAGCATGGTAAGCCATATTTTAGATAATTTAATATATTTTTATTTATGTCAACAACCTAAGTGGAAATTTCTTTATCATAGTCGGATCGTGGATGAACTAGGACTGACCCACATCATAACACCTACACAAGCTAGAAAAAAATGGTCCAATCTACTGCAAAAATACATGGTAAGTGGCAAGGTGAGGACTTGGCCAGTCTGGCACTTGTTGATGACCATCAATATAAAGTCTCCATTTCTTTAGCTAGTGGATGCTCTTTCATTGCAGTGATTGTTGGTGGTTTAGTGGTAACCTTCAATCTCTCAGTATTATGTCCTGGGATCAATCCCCAATCCAGGACAGATGTGAGAAGGATGTTATGCAGTATGATCCTTCCTAACATTGCAGGTTTTCCTTGGGTACTGCGATTTTCTCCTGTACTAACACTGGATGATAAAGGTCGTAACAGATCATACCAACCACCCAAATGGCTAGGCAGCTGATATGATAAAAGAAAAAATTAATGGCATATGAGGATTGTTTTTGGTACATACAAACACTTTGAATAAGCTATTTTAATCAAAATGCTCTTTTCACGATATTTTGACATTACAGTACTGTAAGTAATATCTCCATTAGCAGGAATCCCTCAAACCCGGAACTCTCCGATACCCGGAATTTAAATTATTTCGGAAAATCGTTCCTGAAGCCAGAAGTCTCCAGAAAATTATGGCTTTGGGAACGATTTTCCGAGGGGCACATTTTCAGAAAAATTCTGAGAAAATTTTCCAGATACCCGGAAAATTCCGGGATGGGGGGAGTTTTTTCCGGGTTTGAGAGATGAAAATCAGGTGCATTTTCTGGAAATTCCGAGAAAAGTATCCGGTACCTGGAAAATTCCAGGGATGGGGGATATTTTTCCGGGTTTGAGAGATGATGTAATGGGCAATTTCTGGAATGTCTGAGAAAATTTTTCCGTTACCAGGAAATCTCTCATTCCGGAAGTGCTTTGCACCAATTGTTCTGGCTAACGGAGATATCACTGTAGTATTACATTCTACAGATATTCCGCGTTTAGCATTAATTCACTTAACATTAGTTCGGTTTGGTGATTAAAAAAAATACACCTTTCCCACTTAATGTTAGGTCAGAATTTGGTTTAGCAATAGCTTGACTTACTAGTAAGAGGAAAAACTGGTGATGAAGTGGTCTGTGAAATGGCATGTTGCCATTGTTACATGTAATTAAACAATAAAAGTCATGCAACAAAGCGTGTTGGCACTCGTGCCTTCATTGTTGAGCGGTGGCAATTGAACAGTGATTACATAAGAGCATCAAGATCGTATAACTGATATGAATGTGTAAATCGATGTAGGATTATTAAAGTTATTCACGATTTTATATTGAAAAAACTCTCTACTGACCAGAGAAATAGGCTGGGATGTATACAATGACAAAATCATATGACAAGATTTATTCAGAAAATTTTTAATGAGTTTCATGGCTGTGATTGACCATCCACAGTGACAACAGTGACCACGGTGGAGGCTGAAAATAAATTGAAGTGAAAAAAAATTGGGGGCAAGCAATCAGGCACCAGTGCCTGGAAGTAACCAAGATATATTATTGGTGCAACAAAGAAGGTTTTTTTTTTGGATGTGTGTTTTCTCAAGGACTGTAATTGTGCTTATGATCCACCATTCACAGTGAGATACAGTGTATATAGTGATAGTACTTATAGATAAATCCATTGATGAGATTTGGAAAAGAGAACATAGTAGTAAAAAAAAAAAAACTAAACAAGCCGAACTGTCACAAACAGCATTATTGCTGCCCCAAAGAAAGTATTTTTTCTGTGCTTTCTAAAGGACTGATTGTCCATATAATTCACCATTCATAGTGAGATACAGTGCACATAGTGATAGTATGTAGAGATACTAACAACTTATCGAGGAGAACTGGAAAAAGCAAACAGAAAACAAGTCAAACTGTCATGGACAGCAGCACTGGACAGACGAGGGTGCCAGCAAGTTCATGAATGGCAGGACAGTTAAATGATTTTCTAAATAATATTAGTCTGCCACAAGGGCATGATCACTCACACATCTTAGTTCATTTAGATTACAATTAGTAGGTGTGATTATAAAGGAAGTCATCCCAGCGAAGAGTAAATTTCTTTGGCAGAATAAAGTGGAAGATTATGAAGGTGGCATCCCCCCCTCCCCCCAACACACCAGACACGAGACCTACGGTGGGAGCACTGCTGTGTTGTGAGGCTTTAAAAGGCCCTTGACAGAAAGGCACAAAAGCAATTATCATAGTAAAAATAAGTACAGGTATTATTACTATTAAACCATCTGTAGAATTACGTATAACACATCGTAAATTGGGTTAAGACTAAGAAGAATCTTACAGAGTCTGGACATCCCCCACTATCTCCCCTCAACCCCCATTCCCTCAGGATTGACAACGGCCACTGCTGTCAAGCACTACGTGTCCCACAGGTGTAAGTACATAAAAGGAAGAAGACAGTTTATGACAGGACATGAAAAAGGCATGGGGAACCAGAGACCAAAACCCCAGGGTCACCAAGTAGCTTGCTGACGTGCAATTGCTGCAAAGGGATGACGTCTAGGAGAAGATTGTGTTGGTAAGACAGCATCAGCGTTTAGGATGTTGCAGAATGCGATAAAGCAAAAAGGCTGTTGCTGGTACTGCCCTGACTGCATAACCAAAGTAAAGGAGGCTATTGCAGATCATCATAAGGGAATGAAAAACTTAAAGAAGACAATAGAGATCCTCGCTAAGACTTGAGGAAGTAGCTGACAGAACGGAGGGAGGAGTAGTGAAGAAATTTTATGCTCAGGCTTTAGCAGGGTCACAGAAGTTGACGGAGAGTAATGCAGAATCTGAACAGATCCTTCAGCAGCTAGGGATTCTGCAGAAGTGTATTGAATGGCAACTAGTAGACCTACTGATAGGGGAGAGGAGGAACAATGGAAATGTTTTGAGTTCAAGAACAGCATAATAGTGTGTGTAGTCCCTCAGAGCCAGTCGGAGGAAGTTGAGAGTAGGAAAACACATGATAAGTTGCAGTTTGAGAGTATTTGTACAGAGGCTCTTAAAATGTCAGCCCCCCTCAGGATGTGAGGACGCTGGGACAAAAGCAGGAGGACAGGTCTCTTCCCTTAAGGATCACACTAGTGAGTGAGGATAAGAAATGGGAAGTTATTCGGCAGGCAAAGAAATTAGCAAGGAGTGAAGCATTTAGGAATATATTCATACACCCAGATTGAACGGTAATGCAGAGGGAACAGCACAAAAAACGCCTATGGTACTTGAAGCAGAGGGAGGATTCTATGAGAAACGGGGATGGACATACATGGGTTATGTACAAGGGAATGGTAGTGGGAGCAAGAGCGCCAACACAGAAGCAGGGGACAGCGAGACACCTTCCACCCAGGAGGAGGTGAGTACATGTAAACAATGTCATCTTTGACCACACCCCACAAAATACAATGTATTTAGCAAATGCTGTAGCTGCTGAGAATGTAAGGAGGCCGGAGTCATTACCAAGATCAGAGATATTACCAAGAACAAATTCCTGCTTGAAAGTCATGTCCAGTACACTAATACTGACACGTTTTTTGACAAGAGAGATAAGGTGTTGTAGAACTGTTGTGCAAGAACAGGGGAATGTGAGTTCAATATAGATCGATATGACTCATTTATGAACCTCTCTCAAACAACTTGCAAGAGGGGTGTGGATATCTATGCTAAGTAAGACCTTAGAGCCAGCCAGGTGAGGGTACAGGGGATGATATTTTTAAAGAATAAAAGCGGTATAAAATTAAGTTAAAGGGGAGAGACTTACTTATTGTCGGGTGTGTCTAGAGATCTCCAAACTGTAGCTTATTAAACTAGAGTTGTTGGGGGGAAAAAGGATCATCTGTCATTACCGTAACCTTTGTGAAGTAGCTACCATATGAGTATTTTTTAGATGTTATGCTATGTGAACATATGCTATTGTGTCTGTGTGTAAAATGAGTGTAGGGTAAAGCATGTACTGTAGATCATTTTCCTAAAAAGTATTTAATCAGTATTAACTTGACAGGACAAAATGTGTGAAGTTATTGATGGACTTTTTTGTTTTAAGTTATATTTACATGTACTGTACTTATTTCTTGTAATAGGTGGCTAAAAGGATGAAAAGATGCCAGTCATTTCATGGTTTGGTACACTTGTTCAGCACCATTATACTGTATTGTAGTAACATTAACAAATAAAAATATTAACACTGAAAATAATTTTCAGTAATGCCATATGTTTTTAAATATTATTCATGGATGAATTGTAAGTCAAAAGCAAGAATTACAATGAAGTAATCAGCTCTGTTGGAAATTGATAATTTTAGTCATAAATTGCCTTTCACAAATTTGTATAAAGCAGTGCATATCCCATTTCCCACCACAGGACATTAAAGGAGGCTGTTCTACAGCAAATGCAGACTGGCCATACTTTCAAATACTTGATCAAGTAGTTCCTCTCATGAGAAAAGAAAAGATTGAAAAAATACCACACTCAAGTTTAGACCACAGAGATCTTGATGCACCTCAGGACAGTTTACCCAGCCCTCTAACCACTCCTATTGTTCCTGAACAAGATCCTTTGTCAGAGGCCTCTGATCCCTTATCAGTGACCTCTGTAAATACTGTTATGGTGTCAGCCCAGTCATCCACTGTAGGAGATGGTAAATGCAAGATTGAAGCTGTCGATGGTGAGCCACCTCGGAAAAGGGGAAGGTATGGAACCTTTATCTATACAATACGATACCGTACTCCTGTTCTAGTTTAACTCTCTCTGCTATGTTGCCCATTGTAATGGGGGGTTACTTACTAGGGGTCCCATGAGCTCTTTTAGCTGAGTTCCTGGCACCTTCAAGTGTTGTTTTGTTAATATTTATCAAATTGATCCCCATTCCTTCCTTCTCTTCCACAGCCAATCTCAAATTAGGGGTTCATGTTGAGGTTGCTCCCCCTCGCTAGAAGGAATTAGGAGGAGGTACTTAGTTAGATTTAATCACTGCTCTAGACAATCTTTCACTTTTTTGGAGGAACTAAAGCAGCTTGTTCTCTCTTAGAAGCCTATGACAGAGAAGGGAGTGGTATCATTGCATTCAAAGGGATTAACAGATTTCACCTTACTGGCATCCACAGAGTGAAAGGGTTTAAAGAATGCTTTCAGGATCAATTCTCCATTTCTGCATCTGTTGATATACAGGTACATCTAACATTATGTTACCTAATTACCTCAAAATCTACACTTGTATTTAACAGAGGTCGACGTGCAGCTCAACGTGCCAGAGATAGATGGTGGGGTGCTGTAGAAGATGATGACATGGGCTCAGATTCAACAGGGATAGCTGTGAGAGGAGAACTTACAACTCAGCAAGGAACACCAAAATCCTCCACAGTTGATAACTTGGATCCTTCTCAAATGGAAGTCCAAACATTTCACATGCTAGAATCATGTTCTTCAGCACTGGCAGAAATCCGTGAGACACTTAGATTACACACTGAGCGACAAGAGACCTTGATGCAGGTCAGTTTTCTTGATTCAGGGAAGTTTGGGAATTTTCTGAAAGAATCAGAGTTGTTTAGAATGTATTTTTACTTGAATGACATAATGACATTAGATCTCTCTTATTATTCACCTCCTCTAAGAAGTATCTGTATCCATTGATCCATCCCCACACACAAATAAAAGATAACAAAATAAACATGTTGCAATATGTTCAAAAATCCAGGTTAAGATATATATATATATATATATATATATATATATATATATATATATATATATATATATATATATATATATATATATATATATATATATATATATACAGTCAACCCTCGCTTTACGCGGTCCCACATTACGCATTTCCACGTTTACGCGGTACCCTGCCGAAACCGAAATGCTCACTTTCCGCGGTGCGTGTACCCCTTTACGCGGAGAGCGGCGCGAGCAGGGTGCGCACAAGGTCGCCCAGTCATCAAAACATTACCGAGTTCTTCACCCGCCATCCACCACAGCCGGCCCAAGTCAGTGATAGTGATAATGATAATGAGGATATGGACTTATGTGGACTTTGAGGGGTTTGACAAAGAGGCCCTGCAAGCCTCTGTGGTGGATAGTGATACAATTGATACAAGTGATACAGGTGAGGGCCAATAATCTGCCCTCTGCCTCGAAACCAACCCCCCATCCCCGTGTGCCCAGCCATCTTTTCTACTAATGTAAGTGTTAAAAAACTTAATATTATTGATATTTCTCTTAATTATTTATTGTGTGTGCATACCATCATAAAATTAAGAAGTTATTTTTACTACAACATAGGTATTGTGTCTGAAAAAGTGGAGTTTGGGGGTCGGCCCGGTCTCCATTTCAATTAATCCCATATGTTATGTTGTTCACTTTACGCGTTTCTCACTTTACGCGGGCCGCCGTGGGTTGAATTAACCCGTAAAGTGAGGTTCTTATATATATATATATATATATATATATATATATATATATATATATATATATATATATATATATATATATATATATATATATATATATATATATATATATATATATATATATATATATATATATATATATACACACACACAGTTGGGTCTCACATTACGCGGTTAATGTAACCCGGAGGGTACCGCGGAAAGTGAGGAACGCGTAAAGTGAATAACATAACATATGGGATTAATTGAAATGGAGTCCAGGCCGATCCCCAAACTCCACTTTTTGACGACACACAACTATGTTGTAGTAAAAATATTATCTTAACTTTATGATGGCATGCACACACAATTAATAATTAAGAGAAATATCAATAATATTAGGTTTTTAACACTTACATTAGTAGAAAAGATGGCTGGGCACACGGGGATGGGGGGTTGGTTCCGAGGCAGAGGGCAGATTATTGGCCCTCACCTGTATCACTGGTATCAATTGTATCACTATCCACCACAGAGGCTTGCAGGGCCTCTTTGTTAAACCCCTCAAAGTCCATATAAGTCCATATCCTCACTATAATTATCACTATCACTGACTTGGGCCGGCTGTAGTGGGTGGCGGGTGAAGAACTGGTCATGTTTTGATGACTGGGCGACCTTGTGCGCACCATTTTCGCGCCTCTTACACAACATGGCGGATGGCGGGAGGTTTGGATCCAAAAATGGCGCGGCTTGCCAGCCGCTCTCCGCGTAATGGGGTTCACGACCGCGGAATGTGAAAATGTTAGGTTCTGGCAAGGCACCGCGTTAACGGTGAAACGCGGAATGCGGGACCGCGTTAACGGTGAAACGCGGAATGCGGGACCGCGTAATATGAGGACCAACTGTATATATATATAAATAAATAAATAAATAAATATATATATATATATATATATATATATATATATATATATATATATATATATATATATATATATATATATATATATATATATATATATATATATATATATATATATACAGATTGTACCTCTCTTCTCCGGCATTCTGTGGTCCGGAAACTCCCGTGGTCCGGAACGATTTTAGTTTGTGCAATAGGTAGATAGGCAGCTTTTTTTTCTTTTTTCTTACTCATCTGAATTATTATTATTATTACAGGAGTATTAAATTTTTGCCCCTGAGGCCCTAATGTGGGTCAGTGACCTATTCCCGGGTGGGCTAATCCCCTTAAAAAAAAAAAAGCCGCGGGAAATTAAGGTTTGTTTACATCCGGCAGTTCGGCTGCTCTCTCTCTCTCTCTCTGCTTGTCTATACAGAGTACAACATTTAACCCTTCAATATATATGAGCAGTAAATAAGTGTTGCTTTCATATTCTTATGTAGAGTAATGACGATATATTTTCACATGTGCGCACTTACATACGAGCAGTCTCACTTTTTTTTACCATTAATGGTTAGCTACTTATATTGTTCCATTTATTAACATTAAATAACATTACAGGTACTTCAAGCAACCATATTCATTTTTTACATTAATTTTACTACAGCTAAACTCAGGGTCTTATTTTCTTCAGTTTTATATATAGAACCAATCAGTCACTGGTTTCGTAAGCTTTAACATAAACAATGCCGGCAGCCGTCTCGTCTCCTCTAATATTCCACGTATTATTAATAAATTGTATTGTTAATTTTGCACACACGTACATTAATTCAATAAAAACAAATTCAAGAACATTAATTAAAATATATATGAACAGTAAATAAGAGTTGCTTTCATATTCTTATGTAAAGTAATGACGATATGTTTTCACGTGTGCGCATGCGCACTTACATATGCGATCTCTCTTTTTCTTTACCATTATCGTTAGCTACTTCTATTGTTCCATTTATTAACATTAAATAACATTACTTAAAACAACCATATTAATTTTACTACAGCTACAACCAAGGTCTTATTTTCTTCAGTTTTATATGTAGAACCAGTCAGTCACTGGTTTTGTAATCAACGAAAACAATGCTGTGTCATTTCCTCATGTGTTTTAATTTTCTACGTATTATTAATGAATTGTATTGCTCATTTTGCACATATAAACATTAATTCAATAAAAAAGACATTCAGTAATAAACAATAATGAATCTTTTTGTACATAAGAGAAATGACCCTGTTTACACGATTATGCACGTCGTCTGCACGTTGGCGGGCCGTTCAAACCCGTCGAAATTCAAGTTTCCGCCGTCAAAATTTTTATTTATTTATTTTTTTGTGTGTTCCAATAAAATACGTTAAGAATTAAAAACTCGCGAAATTTGAGAAGCTACTATACGACATTTAACCCTTCAATATGTCTTCAAAGAGACCATGACGCAGAGAAAGTGCTGCTAGTGCTTCCAGGCATAAGCACAAGTCACTATCTATCCAGGAAAAGGGTGAATTTCCATGGTCCAGCAATTTCCATGGTCCGGCACCGGTCAGGTCCCGAGGTTGCCGGACTAGAGAGGTACAACCTGTATATATATATATATATATATATATATATATATATATATATATATATATATATATATATATATATATATATATATATATATATATATATATATATATATATATATATATATATATATATATATATATATATATATATATATATATTGGTTTTTATTAAATTAGACATTTGTAACCACATAAAATTAGTCTAATGCAATATATATTAATCCGTCTTTCAAAGAATACCGTATGTGAAAATTCATAGATTTATCTGTAAATAATGAATTTTTACTTTCTTCATTGTTCTCTTATAAATGTAATTTATACTTAATTTTTCCATCTGTTTTTCTGTCCCGACAGAGCCTTCAGCAAACTGTGATGAGCCAGGGAAATACTGTTAAGGAGCTGCTGTCTACCATGACCACACAAAATGCAACTCTTATTGCCCTCATGACACAGATTAACACCAGAAGCTCCCAATCATCATTAGGTCTGTATCACAACTTTGTTTTATACCCTCTTTAATTCGACAAAAAGGGGGCTCTAGGTCACTTAAATTACCGAAAAATCTGTATTAACTGAGTTTGGAATATTTTCACATTATTTGACAATTTCCAAATTTTTTTGTTTGATTATTCATTCATTTTGTGTCCAGTTCTTGCACGTTACCGTGGCTGCTACATAAAATAATCTATTTATAATTACTGTGCAAATATAAATATTTTTTTAATTACATAAAGTAATAATAATGTAAATACTACAGTAATACAGTACAGTAAATAAATGTCACACTGCAAGGTGAGGAGTGAGGTGATGAGGCAGGTGGTGCAGTGAAATGACAAGGCACTTACACAGCACACACATTAACAGCACTACTAAATACCATTATCACAGGAGAATATAACTTGCATTGCTAGAATCCTTGCAAGACAGCGAATAATTTGAATATAGACATCATATATTTTGCACAAGAGATAAAAATTAATCATCTGTATCACATTACACTAGTGATTTATGAGTTCTAGTGTATATGTACATAAATATATAGTGATTTAAATGCGATTTAGGGTATTTTAGGAGTGTTTCTGACTTTGCGAGTTTTTTGGCTTTACTCGAAGTCCCAAAAACATAACCCTCACGTAAGTTGTGAGTCTACTATACAGTAATATCTCCCTTTGCCGGAATCCCTCAAACCCGGAACTCTAAGATAGCCGGAATTGAAATTTTCTCGGAATATTGTTCCCAAACCTGGAATTTTCCGGTAAAATTACGGCTTTGGGAACGATTTTCCGAGGAGCACTTTTTCAGGAAAAAAAAAATTCCCAACACCCGGAAAATTCCGGGGATGAGGGATAATTTTCCGGGTTCAAGAAATGCTGTAATGGGCAATTTCTGGAAATTCTGAGAACATTTTTCCATTACCCGGAAAATTCCAGGGATGAGAGATTTTTTCCGGCTTTGAGAGAGTCGTCTCATTACCTAGAAATCTGTCATTCCCGGAAATGCTCTGCACCAATTGTTCCGACTAACGGGGATATCACTGGTACTTTATTTCCCAATAAAAAAATTAATTGACCTTCCCAAAGCAATTATTGAGGTTACTGTATCACACATAAAATACCCGACCTTCTCCAAATAATTAATTAAGATCTTCTCTGTCCATACAAAATCATTGACCTCCTTACCTAGGTCATTCCTTTCCTAATACTGCAGCTCATTCTTAGCACCAAGGTACACACAGTAAGTACCCATATCACACTGGTACTCTTGTTAGGTAGATGAGATCCTTCCCAGGCATTAATTCAAACCAGGACTATTTCTGTGTCTGGTATCATTAGGTCACTTAAGTGGTGACCATGAGCACCTCAAATAGCACCATCATTTCTTCACATCCAGGGTGTTGAAGTGTGAGATGTCCAGAGATCCATAAGCGTTACCTACAACACCAAGTGGATTCCTCAAAGTAAAACAGTAGTTGCTGGGCCAAGCATTTCCTCCGAGACCTCACTGGTCCCCCTTCGCCCACAGGCGTGTACACCTGCATGTATGAGATGCCGAGCATCACCGAGTGTAAATAAATGTATTTACTGGCCTGATGGGCCTTTGTATTAACACACATTACAAAACCTATTAATTAACTTATTACAGTGACAATAACATTAGGCAAGGCTTTGAGATGTATATAAAGTGCTAGATGTGCCTCTTTAAGTACTGTACTGTGATGTTGCTCTAGCTGTAGTGTACTGACCTGCGTGTGTGAGATACCGAGCATCACTGAGGACGATGGGGCAGCGTTTCATCCTGACTAGGCCTACTGGTGCCAATGCTTAAATTTCACTATCTTTATTCTGGCCCCCACACATACACTTTCTTATATATTGTGACTTCCTGCCTTATAATTACATACCTTAAATTTAAATTTTATACTACAGTAAGTGCCTGGTTCGTTAGATTTAGGTAAATTCCTTTGGCTATCTCATTACCTCAAACCATTGCTCTGTTTGTGGCTATTCGTCACATGGGGTAATGAAGTGTATTAAGCTCACACCGAGGTATATAACATATTTTCCTTGGAGTATAGTTTATGGGTCAATTCCAACACTTCCCATATGTCTGATATATTTATCCTTTTCCCAGATCATTGTTCCCATATATTTTCATCAGATACCTGAGGTAGCTATGTTTACTAATCGTACACAGACGTAAATACCATAACCTTCAGACATGGTCACACCTATTCACCATAGTACATTAGTCCATATCAATTGAGCCTTCCCAATCATCATATAGGTACCTTGAGTTCTCCCTTAATATTATCAGTATACTGCACAGACACTGGTATAATTTATATAAAACAACATACAGCATATGAATTACCCATTCCAAAAGTTTACTGTTTTCTGTGACATTCCCTACTAGTGCAGTGAATTTGAATGTTATGCACCTGTAACATGAATTAAGAAGGATTATAGAGACCAGTAGTAATGTACACAGTACCCTTGTACGTAGTTCAAGTGGGATAAAAATAGAAGCTACCAATTCGACCCCAGCTCTAAACCAGATTGCATTGAGGTAAACAAATGATGTGTTAGGTCTATTAGAGGGTCATTTTTTTAATTCCATTTTACAGCAGTACAGTACATACTGTAATGTATATGCAGTAATTCAAATGAGTTTTTGTGAACAGCTCTTATTGAATACACTACAAGTACCACCAGTGGCCTGTTTATAATGAACAGACAAATTGGTTGAATTCTTCACTCTATGCTCAGTGCCAATTTTCAGACATTAAGAACTTGAGATGGTCAATAAGTGTACTGTAATGTTTGTAAGGATTTACTTGCTCTTTTCTTCTACTGTATTAATAAGTTGGAATTTGGGATAACTTGGCTAGGGCAGAGCCCTATATGTGCCGAGTTATCGAGGGTTTTCTTGTAATTAAAATGTACCAATTTCTCTTACCATTACATTCACTGTCTATTTTTAGATATGACATCAACAAATGGCAGCTTTGATGATCAAAAACACACAACAGAGCAGCGAGGACACAACCATCGGGCAGGCCAGCTTTTAACTTCACAGCAAAATTTGATCAGTGCCTTATCACATGAGACTCAAGATTGTGAAAATCAACTAGTAGAAACCTCAGAATTAACAGATGATATGACTGGATTGTAGATTGATAATTGTTGTCAAGTTGGAACAATAAATTAGTTTTATTAGTCTTTTTATATCACGTATCCTTTACTGCATTCAAATCAAGGTGACACTTACAGTCTCCCTCAGAACTGGCTACCCTTATACATTCATGTTCTTTGCTTGTGCTCAATAAATTTACAGAAAAATATTACATATGTGTCTTGTTCTTACATTCCTAAGCAACTGATAACGTCCTTTTAATAAAATAGAAAAAAAAAATTTAAATAAGTACCCAAAGAAATGTTATTAGAAAATTTAAACCATTACAGAAATACGAAGAAATAAAATAAAAATAATACTTTGCTGTTTTTTTTTTGTTTCTTAAAAGTTCCATTTCTTCTAAACAATTCACTGACGCTCAAAACACAACAAAGTACAAAACCTGAATCTGAGAATTAAAAAGGAAAAATACTACAAAAAAAATCACAAAAAGTGACGGTTCATACAGTATTACGCCTTCCTTGTAAGAAAGGGCAGTCCTGTGCCATATGGGGAAAGACATACCATGAGAACGCCGCCTTCCCTGAGAAAGCCCCTAGGATTGCCGTTGTCCCTAAGAGCGCCCCTGGTGGATCCAACGCCCCTAACAGGTCTCCTCGGGGCACCGCCGACCCTCAGAGGGCCCTGGGGGCACAGCCGACCCTCAGAGGGCCCTGGGGGCGCCTCTGTGCCTGGCATGGCCAAGTGACCCTCACAGGGATAACGTCGATCACAGGGTCCCTTAAAGGGACGGAAGAGCCTTCAGGGGTGTTCCCAGGTATGGCGACGTCCCCAGGGGCTTTACCACAGCGGTTGCACCTTCAGAGGTGGTGTCTTCTCCTGGGTACCTCTTTGGGGCGCCACTGCCCACAATTACCCTGCCAGGTAATATGTATGACACTATCCATTGTTTTGGGGCGTGGCCTCCCTAGGAGGACCATTGTGAGCCACAGGCCTTGGCAGGGTCCTTGGGAGCAGAGGCGCCCCATTAAGAGGCCTAAGGGAAGCCACCGCCTCTAGAAGGGCCCCTGAAGGTGCCACGCCGCTGGCAGGTCCTCTGGGAGGGCCTCTGGGAGCACCATGGTCCCTAGGAACGTACCTGGAGGCGCCTCCGTCCCTGGAAAAACTCTTGGGGTCACAGCTGTCCCTGTAAGGGCCCCTCGGGTCGCCAGCGCCCTAGCAGGGCCCATGGGGGCGCCTCCGGATCTGTGAGGGTCCCTAGGAGCGTTGCCGTCCCTGAGAGGCCCATGGAAGCTCGGCTGTTTCTGGAGGAGCCCCTGAGAATGCCACCTTCCCTGACAAAGCCCCTAGGATTGTCGTTGTCCCTAAGAGCGTCCCTGGTGGATCCAGAGCCCCTGGTGGATCTAGCACCCCTGACAGGTCCCTTGGGGGCATCGCCGACCCTGAGAGGGCCCTGGGGGCGCCTCCATCCCTGGCATGGCCAAGTGACCCTCACAGGGATAACGTCGATCCCAGGGTCCCTTACAGGGACGGAAGCCCCTTCAGGGGTGTTCACAGGGATGGCGACATCCCCAGGGGCTCTACCACAGCGGTGGCACCTTCAGGGGCCCTTCAGAGGTGGTGTCTCCCTCATGGTACCTCTTTGGGATGCCACTGCCCACAATTACCCTGCCAGGGTCTGTCGCGCCCCTATGGGCCCTCCTAGGGTCGGCGGCGCTGCTATGGGCCCTGCTATTGGCAGTGGGTGCCTTTCCAGGGGCTGTAGGGTCTCTGCCAGGGGCAACGGCGCCCCAGGGGCCCTTCCATATGCGGCATCGCTCAAAAAATTTCATAGTTTTGTAGTACATTTTGCATTCGTCCAGTAATCCCTTACTTGACTGTGATTGGTGGAGTAAGGTGTAACGTCATCAAATTACAGCCAATAGGAGAACAGTGCACTCAGTCAGCACAATACCCCAACTTATGCTTTGCTGTTGGATTTATTCTCGTTTCACTATTTAAATTCTGGGAAATATGACCAGCCCATCGCATTTTCAGTATTATGGCAACCTGAACAATGAAAAGGAGAATAAATATCCAACAGCAAAACATAAGTTGGGGTGTTGTGCTAATTGACTGCTCTGTTTTCCTATTGGCTGCAATTTGATGACATTACCTCTTATTCCACCAATCACAGTTAAGTAAGAGATTACTGGATGAATGCAATATGTATGACACCACTATCCATTGTTTTGGGGCGTCGCCTCCCCTAGGAGGACCTATTGTGAGCCACAGGCCTTGGCAGGGTCCTTGGGAGCAGAGGCGCCCAATTAAGAGGCCTAAGGGGAGCCACCGCCTCTAGAAGGGCCCCTGAAGGTGCCACGCCACTGGCAGGTCATCTGGGAGGGCCTCTGGGAGCACCATGGTCCCTAGGAACGTACCTGGAGGCGCCTCCGTCCCTGGAAAAACTCTTGGGGTCACAGCTGTCCCTGTAAGGGACCCTCGGGTCGCCAGCGCCCCTGGCAGGGCCCATGGGGGCGCCTTCGGATCTGTGAGGGTCCCTAGGAGCGTTGCCGTCCCTGAGAGGCCCATGGAAACTCGGCTGTTTCTGGAGGAGCCCCTGAGAATGCCACCTTCCCTGACATAGCCCCTAGGATTGTCGTTGTCCCTAAGAGCGTCCCTGGTGGGTCCAGAGCCCCTGGTGGATCTAGCACCCCTGACAGGTCCCCTGGGGGCATCGCCGACCCTGAGAGGGCCCTGGGGGCGCCTCCATCCCTGGCATGGCCAAGTGACCCTCACAGGGATAACGTCGATCCCAGGGTCCCTTACAGGGACGGAAGCCCCTTCAGGGATGTTCACAGGGATGGCGACATCCCCAGGGGCTCTACCACAGCGGTGGCACCTTCAGGGGCCCTTCAGAGGTGGTGTCTCCCCCAGGGTACCTCTTTGGGGTGCCACTGCCCACAATTAACCTGCCAGGTCTGCCGCGCCCCTATGGGCCCTCCTAGGGTCGGCGGCGCTGCTATGGGCCCTGCTATTGGCAGTGGGTGCCTTTCCAGGGGCTGTAGGGTCTCTGCCAGGGGCAACGGTGCCCCAGGGGCCCTTCCATATGCGGCATCGCCCCAAAAATTTCATAGTTTTGTAGTACATTTTGCATTCGTCCAGTAATCCCGTACTTGACTGTGATTGGTGGAGTAAGGTGTAACGTCATCAAATTACAGCCAATAGGAGAACAGTGCACTCAGTCAGCACAATACCCCAACTTATGCTTTGCTGTTGGATTTATTCTCGTTTCACTGTTTAAATTCTGGGAGATATGACCAGCCCATCGCATTTTCAGTATTATGGCAACCTGAACAATGAAAAGGAGAATAAATATCCAACAGCAAAACATAAGTTGGGGTGTTGTGCTAATTGACTGCTCTGTTTTCCTATTGGCTGCAACTTGATGACATTACCTCTTATTCCACCAATCACAGTTAAGTAAGAGATTACTGGAAGAATGCAATATGTACGACACCACTATCCATTGTTTTGGGGCGTCGCCTCCCCTAGGAGGACCTATTGTGAGCCACAGGCCTTGGCAGGGTCCCTGGGAACAATGGCGTCCCATAAAGAGGCCTGGGGGGAGCCACCGCCTCTGGAAGGGCTCCTGAAGGCGCCATGCTGCTGGCAGGGCCTCTGGGAGGGCCTATGGGAGCACCACGGTCCCTAGGAACGTACCTGGAGGCGCCCCCGTCCCTGTGAGGACCCCTCGGTTTGCCAGCGCCCCTAGCAGGGCCCATGGGGGCGCCTCCGTGTCTGTGAGGGTCCTTAGGAGCGTTGCCGTCCCTGAGAGGCCCTTGGAAACTCTGCTGTTTCTGGAGGAGCCCCTGAGAACGCCGCCTTCCCTGACAAAGCCCCTAGTATTGACATTGTCCCTAAGCGCGTCCGTGGTGGATCTAGCGCCCCTGGTGGATCCAGAGGCCCTGACATGTCCCCTGGTGGCACTGCCGACCCTGAAAGGGCCCTGGAAGCGCCTACATCCCTGGCATGGCCAAGTGACCCTCACAGGGATAAGGTCGATCCCAGTGTTCCTTTCAGGGATGGAAGCCCCTTCAGGAGTGTTCCCAGGGATGGCGACATCCCCAGGGGCTCTACCATAGTGGTGGCACCTTCAGGGGCCCTTCAGAGGTGGTGTCTCCCCCAGGGTACCTCTTTGGGGCGCCACTGCCCAGAATAACCCTGCCAGGGGCTGCCGAGCCCCTATGGGCCTTTTAGGGTCTGTTGCGCTGCTATGGGCCCTGCTATTGGCAGTGGGTGCCTTTCCAGGGGCGGCAGGGTCTCTGCCAGGGGCAACGGCGCCCCAGGGGCCCTTCCATATGCGGCATCGCCCCAAAAATTTCATAGTTTTGTAGTACATTTTGCATTCGTCCAGTAATCCCTTACTTAACTGTGATTGGTGGAGTAAGGTGTAACGTCATCAAATTACAGCCAATAGGAGAACAGTGCACTCAGTCAGCACAATACCCCAACTTATGCTTTGCTGTTGGATTTATTCTCGTTTCACTATTTAAATTCTGGGAGATATGACCCGCCCATCGCATTTTCAGTATTATCTCAACCTGAACAATGGAAAGGAGAATAAATATCCAACAGCAAAACATAAGTTGGGGTGTTGTGCAAATTGAGTGCTCTGTTTTCCTATTGGCTATAATTTGATGACGTTACCTCTTATTCCACCAATCACAGTTAAGTAAGAGATTACTGGAAGAATGCAATATGTACGACACCACTATCCATTGTTTTGGGGCGTGGCCTCCCCTAGGAGGACCTATTGTGAGCCACAGGCCTTGGCAGGGTCCTTGGGAGCAGAGGCGCCCCATTAAGAGGCCTAAGGGAAGCCACCGCCTCTAGAAGGGCCCCTGAAGGTGCCACGCCGCTGGCAGGTCCTCTGGGAGGGCCTCTGGGAGCACCATGGTCCCTAGGAACGTACCTGGAGGCGCCTCCGTCCCTGGAAAAACTCTTGGGGTCACAGCTGTCCCTGTAAGGGCCCCTCGGGTCGCCAGCGCCCTAGCAGGGCCCATGGGGGCGCCTCCGGATCTGTGAGGGTCCCTAGGAGCGTTGCCGTCCCTGAGAGGCCCATGGAAGCTCGGCTGTTTCTGGAGGAGCCCCTGAGAATGCCACCTTCCCTGACAAAGCCCCTAGGATTGTCGTTGTCCCTAAGAGCGTCCCTGGTGGATCCAGAGCCCT